AATGGACACATTTAGATAAAAAATATTTTTTGGAGATATCAAGTGACACAACATCTGTTTTTCCTCTTGTTTCACAGTAAAACAAGATGGCAGCAGTATTTTCAGGCTCATGAGAAGCATGAACTCAAAGCAAATTCTTACTCTTTCATCTCTCTGATGTTCAGTCCATAGATGCTTAATCTTAACTTCGTGTGTCATCTTTGTGTTTTGTTTTTGGCAGTAGGAGGTGGCAGGTGTTGCTTTTCTGCCACCTGAAATCCTACAAAATATAACCTGTGATTATTTTGCCTGTCAGTAAAAACAGTGGGAAACCGTGGGCCCTGCAGACTGCTGGGCTCCGAGCATTCAACCGTAGACTGGTGCGACCACTTACGTTATTTTAGTTTTTCATCAATGAAATCATCAGGAATAAAGCAGAAATGTCATCCTATAAACTCTGAATTGTGCTGGCTTTTAAGAGGTAGAGAGATGCATTTGGCCTCAGAACTATTGCAAGTGTTCTTAGGAGGACTTAAAGAATGGAAACATGCTTCTTAGAGAAGAAATGTCTACTCTTTGGTTATCTCAAAGGAGATGAATGCATGGAAACAGGAATCAAGGAGAACTTCTGATGTTCTCAGAACTTTCCAGAAGTCGTGAAAATGTTCTGACTTCAGCGTTTTCCCTTTGGGATGTTACCAGGTTGTGCTGAAAACATCAGGAGGGAAATCACCTGAAGCGCGAAGCAGCTGTGGCTTGGCATAATGTATTATCAGTCTGTACTGATTTGCAGTGTTTATTAGATGGAGTATTGTTGAGAACCTTATTCAGTAACAGAACTGTTGCAGGTTTTCCCTCACTTTCTGCAGAGTGGGTGGTGATGTTACTCTGTGAGTCGCCCTCCAGCATCTCAAGCCTGAGATGCTCCTTGTTATGTGTGCAGCAAAACTCTGTCCTGTCTCTCTCTTGGGAAGCCTGTAAAATCTCAATAACTAAATAGGACATGACTATAATACGGATCTTGCATGCAGGTGAAGATCAACTTATTTGTCGGTATACACTACTTCAGAATGCTCCTGCTTTGGTTTTCAAAAGCAGATATGATCGGTTTTAGACTGAAGTCGAGGAACATTAAACATCTTCCTGGCGGAGTTGGTTTGTATAGTGTTGCCCTCCGTCGGTAGGTATATGTACCCAGTGAGTGTATGTGCTAATACACCTCCACATATAGTCTGCACGGTAAGGATAATATCCTGAGGATAGTTCTTTGTCCACCTTCTTCAAGTGCGCATTGATCTATGGAAGCTAACAGCATAATTTTTTTCACTTTTAAGGGGCTTGGTAAAAATATTGTCTTTTTAATGGTGTAAACTGCCTTGGGTTCTTTTAAGGAGAAAGGCAGGGTAAAAATATTTTAAAGAAATTTAAAGAAATTAAACAATAGAGGGAATCAGACTCCAGAAGACATTCCTTGCTCGAAGAAGAGAACGACTTGGCCGAATTTTTGCCTCTTTTTTTTTCTTTCCCTGTGGTCCAAGCTACCCAGAGCAGATTTTCAGAGGCATGGGGTATGCTTTGGTGGTGGAAGGTGGAATTTGCAACCAGACCTGTATCCTCTGACAAGATTGTTCAGGATATCTTCTTCCCCAGCTCTAGATCCAACCCCTTGTTTGAGACAACAAGACAGGCAAACAGATGTGACATCGCTTGGAGGGTAAAACGTTAATTGGACATCAACTGAAGCCTCCTGCAGGAGATGGAGATGATGGGTGTTAACAGTGCCTGGATTTTTAATTGTTGGTCCTTGTTTTCGTGTGCTGGGAAGGAAACCCTTGTGTCTGCCACTTGTGATTTCCCAATAGGCGTTCTGCCACCATATGGCGTGCGAGCAGAGCATGCGGCCGTCACATTGCTGATGTACAGCATTGGCTGACTTATTAAAAGCAGAGGCTTAGATAACTTTAACTCAAGTGGAAGGATTTTTTGTTCCTCAGTGGCCTTGAATATCCTCTTGACTGTGGAACTCTGATGCCTGGAGGAAACCTGGAAATAGTTCTCTTTGCTCCTTCTTTTCGGCCTTTTATTTCTGCGCAGAAACATTGATATAACTGCTTTTCAGCTCCCAAAACAACTGCAATAAAGCACAGTCCATGTTTAATGCCATCATCCACTTTACGGTTTCTTACTTTGGGCACTATCTCGATCCAAGAAATTCTTAGCCTTGTGGATTTATTGCAAGATGCTAAGCATTCCTTGACTAACCAATGAAAAAGTCTTGAGGTGAATGCATCAAGAGCAAGAAATCATAAAACCTGTAAGTGCAGAGTCAGGTAAAGAGAAGGGAAGGGCACTGATTATTAGAGCTGGTTGTTCAAGGTAAAATAAATAGGAAAAGCAAGGCAGGTAGAAACATTGTCTTAATGAGCCTTGGAAACTCGTTTGGATGCTCAAGCATTGTTGGGAGCTGCCTTCTCTAAATCCAGAGAAGTCATGACAGGCGGCAGTAGGAGAGGAGTGAGAAGAGAATAATAAAATGTGAGACAGTTAGAACCTCTAAACAAATAGACAGTTGACAAATGGGTTGGAAGCAACAAAATTGTGGCAAAAACTTCTTGACTGCTGCCCTAAACCCCAGCATCCTGCGAGGTACTAGTTCCTCTATTCAGCACTGGTTAGGCATCTCCTGGAGTCCTGTGTCCACACTTTAGAAGGATACCGACAAACTGGAGCAAGTTCAGAGAGGGCAAGAAGGAGGATCAGGGGGCTGGAAACCCAAGCCCCATAAGGAGGAAATACAGAAAGAACTGGGCATGTTTAGCCTTGAGAAAAGACGACTGAGAGGAGACAGGATAGCACCCTTCAATGACTTGAAGAGAGGCAGGATCTGTCCTTGATTCTCCCAGAGGGCAGGACACATTAGTAACGGTCTCAAGCGACAGGAAGCTGAATTTCAGCTGAGTATCAAGAAAAACTTCATAACTGTTCAAGCAGTACGACGACAGGACTTATGACCTTGGGAGGTGGTCAGCACTCCAACGCTGGTAAAACCTGGACCTCTGTCTGTCCAATTTGCCTGGATTTGGGTTCCTGCCTTGAGCAGCGGGTTGGACTCAATAGCCTTTGAGGCCCCTTCCCACTCCATTATTCTGTGATTCTCTTGGCAGAGTTTTCATAGCCAGGGTGGTGATACCAAGGGAAGTATGGGCTCCTTCAGCTCTTTTTATTCCTCTAAGGTTCATGTGAGAGGGGAAAGTCCTCCAGATAGGTTGGGTCCTAAGATGTTTGGAGCATTCTCTCCCAAGCGTCCTCATGCGGTGTGCAAGCTGGTGGCATCGGCCTGGTAATAGGGTTTCAGATGCAAACAACCCTTGCTTTTTGCCCCAAGTCTGGTTTCCAGAACAGATGCCAGCGAGTGGTGTGTAACTTAGGAAAACATCTGGGGGAAGTGGGAAAGGTCCACAGAGTTGTATCCCTCTGTGTTTTTTCTCTTTACCACTGGGAACAAGGCTGGTGAGTGATTCTCCTTATGTGAAAAAGTCGTGGTCGCTGTTGTTTCCTGTGATGGAATTTGTGCTGCTTTTATGAGGTTGGGGCGGATAATATCCCCCCTTTCTCTGCACAGTAAGCAGAATCCAGTGTGCATGTTTGCAGGGAGGATGGCTGCCGGGGAAAATGATGTGGCCTGGGAAAGGGACTGCTCCCGATGGGGTTCTCCTGTAGAGGTTCCGTTGGTGTAGCAACCGTTGACGAGTCCTCGCCGTTGCATTTCTGTGATCATATGACAGCAGCTGGGCTCATGTTGCAGCGTTAAGTTCCCATGCACCTGAGAATGCAGCCATTCTTTAGGCTACTCCCAAAAGAAAAAGCGGAAGTCTTGTGCTTGAGGCGTCTACCTGCGAGTTGTGTGAAGGCACCTTTAAGGTCAATTGAGTTCTCCCGTGGTTGGGAAACCTGCAGAATGATTGCTGTCAAGTTGCTGATTAGTAATGATCACGTGCTGACTTATGAGGATCTTTTCCAGGGTTTCCCATTCCCTTTTTCTGGGGTTGCTCTGGGACTGTGCAGGTTGCCCAAGGCCTCCCAGGTTGATTCTTCTCCCAATAGGCATGGGGGGGGGAATCGAACTCTGAACCTCTGGCACCACAGCCAGTTACTAACTGGATAATTTGCAGCTGTTTTGGAGGACACACGGCCTTTTGTGGTCTAGTGAATAGAATGTAGAGAAGAGGTTGAAAATTAAATTTCAGTCCACCTTTCTAGGTTTTCTTGACAAATTGCTACCTGCGTTTTCTTCTATAAAATGGGGACAGTAAGTACATCCCTCAGAGAGCTGTTGAGCAGTAAAGGAAAGAACAGTAAAGAATGGATAATAGTGAGACTCTGGTTGGCAATTTACATGAGTGGGTTAAATTGAGTGAACCACATTAGTAAATTGCTGCTAATGAATGAGGTCCAAGTCATATTATGAGGTGCCAGCTAGTAATGTATCTCGTGCCTCATTAGTTAAGAGCAGTTAGATGCAATGATTTATTCGTTTTAACTCACACATGCCTGAACCACCAGGATTCTGGCCACGTATTTTAAAAATATGCTGTGAATTCTTACTGGAATGCCCTTTGAAGCAGTGAGCTGATAGGACAGTGATCCATAATGAGTTTCGACTTAGCTTTTGACAAATAAAATTAGTATCTTACATTTCTGAATGACATTTATGGCATGAGTCCCCCCCCCCCCC